TATAAATATTTATAAATCTCAAATTTCTGTAAATCGTTATTGTAGTTTTGCAGCCTGTTGTGAATTTATTCAGCACCAGTCTTATTTCCTGTGTCACTTCTTTTTCATAAATACAAACGCTCTCATGGTGACATAAAAAAACCCAAATAAAAGCCACGATATTTCATCCGTTATTTCTATGAAGCCCAAACATCCCATAATATTATCATTACAAACTCTATTTATAGAATTCTGTACCACACCATTTACTGATGGTATTTTTCACATCAAGTACATCTATGTATTTATTTTACTGGTCGTGTAGGGTAAAGAGGTACTTCTGTTTTCTTTACTCATATTTATATTTATATCAGGTCAATCAGGCGTTCATCGGCAAAACTGTACAATTACAGAATGACGCCTTCTCCTGTGCAGCGTCATGTAGGCCTGTGCCGAGCTGTTGTTCGATACCGTTCATTTATATAAGGACCTCAAGATAAAATACTCATCTTTATACACGTCCATTATCATTATCGGATCATTATTAAACTTCATATTTTCAGATTTCATCAGTATTTCTCTAAATCTGAATTTGAAAAAAGGCCTCACGCACCAAATGCATGTGTATCCATATGTAGAGTTGATTAATCGTAATATATTCGACTGCAAAATCATACATTTTGTATTTATATCATATTGAAGTTGTTGGTTTTTATGCCGCAGTGAGTTTGAGAGTTTATTTAGTTTCGTGTTTAGGATTTAGGCCAATTACACAGGCCCGAGCGTCTTCACCGCCTTCAGCCGATAGATGTCGCTGTTTAGCTGGAATAGTCTGGTTGTGCACTGAGGAGCCTGGTGATCTTTACAGTTTGTCCTCTGTCGTGGGGAGTTTCTCCATCATACAACATGTTCTGTCGTTACCTCCCATGATAGTCCTCGTGTTAACAATCTCGTTAAAGCTTTGCAGTTAAGTTAAATAAAGCAGTCAGCTCCGTTTGAATGATCAGCACATGTAAGGCCCAGTAAGATCGTCTAGCATTTATTTATGACATTAAGCAAACTTCTTATGTGAGAATAGATGTAGAGGACTTTCAGCAGGACAATTTGAATACATAATACCTGAGAGTACAGGTTATCCTGAGTGAGGTTTATAGAGAACACGAGGAATATGTAGGGCTATATAGATAAACAGCAGAATATGATTTTCTAAATAAAAAC